AGCCTGGACCAAGGCGAGGGCCGCTTTGAGGACGAGGAGCTGGGGTCGGGGCATCTGTAGCACACCCCCAGCACCTGGCATCGTTCCTGCCTTCGTGGCCCATGTGACCACCCGCACAAAGCAGACGGCTGATATTGAGAAGCAGCGCCCGAAGTCTCAGGAGGAAGGCCATTGCCCAGCCAGAGGCCCGTCTTGACGCTGAAGGCCCACTCGCTGTGGCACACAGGCGCGCACTTCTTTTACACCTGCGGCTCGTGGAGAAAAAGTGCAAGGACGGCGGACCTAGCCAAATAATGCCCCTAGCACCCGTTGAACGCAGAGAGCGTTGCTCTGGCGGCTGATGCGGGCCCACATCGGCGAAACTCTATGTTTTCGGCTGTGGCTTTCTGGTCGCGTTTGACTCGGCCTGGCTGGCACTCCTTCGCTTGAGGTGCAGCCGCCTATGAGTCTGTGCCGTTGCCTGCAGCTCGCGCCCGTGGCCACGCAAGTTCCAGAGGACCGCGCGCGTGGTAATCCTTTCTGGCGTAGGCACACCCGTTGGCGGGAGGATCACGCGCCTCGGCTCCAGTCGGCCGCTCGCACGGCCTGCCTAATAAAGCAGCGGCTTGGTGCGCTGGTTGTCATGTCGAACGTGGTGCTTTGTCCTCGCGGGGGAGCGCCGCCCGTGGCAGGTGTCCGCACAGCTCGATCAGTGTGCGCGGCAGATGGTGTGCAGTTCTGCACGTTTATACGCCAGTGCTGCGATCGCCCTTTTGCCGCGCCTGTGTCAAGCCTGGGCCTCCTGTCGGCTGCAGCAGAGCTGGCACCTGTGCCGCTGGGTGTCCTCGTGGCGCCCCAGAAAAACAAGCGGATTGGCAGCCCGATCGTCACCACTGCCCGACGGGGCTGTGGGAGAGAAGCTTGCCCTGTGGTTGGCCAGCCACAGTAGGTGCGGGCCCGCCGTGCCACCCCTGAGAGGCCCAGTGGGGTTATTCGAAGGAGTCCCCCGACGGGGGGGGCGCATGAACTAAAGTCCTTGGGCAGTGGGGTCTCCGCTGCTTGAGGCCGGCGGCCATGTGGTGGTGGTGCCGGTGGCCGTGTTTCTCGGTGGCATTTGGATGCGCCTCGCAACAGCGGCGCAGATGAGACTACTAGGGCGTGTCTGTGCTGTCATTCATGTTGCGGGGTCCGATTATATGTGAATGCACGCAGGCACCTTGGGCACCCTCATTCGGGTTGCGTCGTCTAGGTGTTCTGTCCGGGCCCAAAAAAAAGGCTGCAGCGGGGCCGTGGTGAGGTATGGGGTCGCAGTGGGAAAGATCGAGGCGGCGAGAGCTACAGTATTAGCCGGAACGGGTAGCGACGGAGGCGCTGAGGCGGCTGGCGCCGCCAGGAGGCCCGATTGGGCGGTCGAGCGCCGGAGCTTTCATTGGAGACTCCGCAGGGGCGCCACTCAACACGAGCGCTTGGCGTGCGCCGACGCGCATGGAGCGCGGCTGGCGCTCGCAGGCAGGAAGGGGCGTGCACTCTCCCAGGGCCATCCTGGACGTGGAGAAGCGGCCCAAAAGACAGAGCGGCGCTGGATGGAGAGTTTGCGTGTCGCAACCCCACGGGGGGCCAAGAGGTCGGGTTCCTCAACAACGTGGCGCCCGATGGGCAGTCTGGGTGATTGCGTGGCCAGCGCCCCTACGTGGAGCCGCGCGACGCTTGCCCAGGTTACGAAGAACTAGGAGAAGGACGGCGAGCCACAGCGACAGAGCGGGGGAAGGGGCCGACACCGGGGACCTGCTGAGCCTCGCGCGCCCGCTGGCGAATGACGGGGGCACGTGAACACCCAACGAGGGTGCGCTGGGTTAGTTACGCGGATCCCAGCGTGACTCGTGACCTGCGAGATGAAGAAAACATGCGCTGACCAGCAATGTTGGATGGGGGCCCGCACGGCAGCGGCTTCAGGGGCTAGCTGCGTTCCCTCTGCGTCCTGGCAGACGAGCACGGTCATGACAGAGCTCTTCCGCGCGCATCCCCTCCCCCCAATTCCCCCACGAGCGCGGCACATTTGTCGCTCGAGAAGTCGAAGAGGGAAGCCACGGAGGCACGAAGGGCCCGCAAGGAAAGGCGGAAGAGTCTTGCGAGGCCGCGTTCGCCTGTGCGGACTCTGTTGTGGCAGCACCCTTCAGAAGGGGCGGGTGTCCACCTGCCGCCTACGGCGCCGACGACGAAGTCCCAGGCCTCGAACGGGCGCGGGGCGCGTCCACCATCATCACGCTCGACAGCTTGCGCAAAGCGTGATTGGAATTGATGGGCTCAGGCGTCGGAGCGGAGGCCGGCGAGCAGGCGCTGGCGGCCTTGCCGCGGGTGTTGGGCTTACATACCCCAGAAGGCTGTTCGGCCTGCGGGCAGTTTCTGACAATGCGAGCCCAGGATTGCGGGCACTTGAAGGCAGAAAACGGATCCTACCACAAGAATGCGCGACCTGGAGTCTGCGATCTCTCGTGGGTTGCGACCATTTCTCTAATTTGAGTTCCCCCCTATGGCCCAGGTGTGCAAACAGGTCGACCAGGTCTTGTGAGTTTCAGGGCTTGCCGCACAGGCCCACGTGGGTGATGATTGGCTGGCGCCGTACCGTGGCCGCGGCAGGCGAATTGGTCGCCGTCGCGATGCTCGGCGCGCTCAAGGGAGCGCTCGTCACGTGTCTCGCGTACTCCAGCCGAGCGCTCCCAGGTTCATTGACTGCGCCCAATAAGCGCGTGTTCATCAACCCCATCATCGTCAACAGCAGCAGCATAGGTACCATCATTATCATCATCCTCATCACCATCATCATCACCGTCATCATCACCAGCGTCATAATCGTCATGATCATCGCCATCATCATCATCAGCATCATCGTCACCACCATCATCATCACCATCAGCGTCTCCAATCATCACCACCACGAGTATCGTCACTACCAACACCATTCCCGTTACCATCATCAGCGTCAGCATCAACATCATCAGCAGCATCATCATCATCATCATCAACATCATCATCATCATCATCATTTCCATCATCATCATCCTCATAATCATCACATTCATCGCCATTATCATCAGCATCCTCATCTTTATCTTCACCATCGTCATCGCCATCAGCATTATCATCACCATCGTCGTCATCACCGCCATCATCAACACATCAGCGTCACGGCCATCATCATCACCGTCATCACCATCATCATTACCATCATCATTTGTTCAATATTCTATTTCACAACTAGTCATCCTCGTCCTCCTCCTCTTCTTCTGTCCTTGCTCTGCCTTGCCATTCCTCGTTGCCTCTTCCATTCCTTATACCCGATCCCTGTTACCACTCCTTCTCATCATCCCATCTCGCCCTACTCCCAATTCTTGTTGATCATCATCGTTTATCCTCCCCCTCGTCATCCTCACTATCCCTCCCCCGCTCCCCCACTCGCCATCCTCGTCCCTACTCCTCCCCCTCCCCTCCTCACTGCCACGCAACGTGAACACAATGATTTAATCGAGTTGCCTTCGGCCCATCCCGCCACCGTGCCTGGGTTGTGGGTATGAAGCCTGTTGGATGTTCTGGGATCTCGGGGGCCTCCTGGAAGCAGTTTGGAGGCGTCTGGGGGGCCGTTTCGGGACCTCTTGGGACATCTCTTGCGACTCTTGGGGCCTCTTCGGGCGGAAGGCTCGGATTTTCGGTTCGTGTTTCCTCTTTTGGGCCCCTTTCGGGGCTGTATTGGGGCCCTGGGGGCATCTAAGGCTGTTTGGGAGTGTCGGGAAGCCGAAACGGTGAGAACGTCAAACTCCTTCCACAACCTCAGGGAAATCCATGGTTTGGGCCTCTTGGGGCTCTCTTGGGAGGCCTCTTGGAGCGCCTTGGAGGCCTCTTGGGCCGTCTGGGGGCCATCTTGAGCGCCTTGGAGCGATCGTTGGGCGACTCGGGGCCCTCTTGGACTGTCCTGGGGGGCCTTTCGAGCCTCTCTCGGCACGTCTTAGGGCCCTTCTGGGCCCGAACCGGTCACGCGACAAGATGCGGGGGAGCCCAGGGGGCGCGCGGAAAGCCCCATGGGGGCACGCGCCAAGCCCCCGGGGGCATGCGCCAAGCCCCAGGAGATCTGAGAGCGAGGGGTCCGGGCCCCTTGAAGGAACTCGCAGGAGGAGTGCGGTTCAGAGGAGGAGGCAAAGGCCCTGAGGGCACGCTCTCTATCCGTGCCCAGCGGCACGGTGGCGGATGTCGTGCCCTTCCCTCGCCGCCCGCCGCAATAACCTTGGGCCATTCTCATGCGTTCGCACGATCATCCCGCGCGTTCTTCTCGTGTTGTCTCTCCTCCGCTTCATTCCTCCACGCACTTCGTCCTCCTCGTCATCCTATGTTCCTCCTCCTCGCCCAGCTCCGTTTCCTTCCAACAGGTGTCCCCCCAAAACAGTATCATGTACCCCCCCCTCGTTTGATACATCCGTTCGCAACGGAAGGGGGGAGGAGACTGACACGCTTAGGGGTACGGGGTTGTCGCGGCGCATTGGGATAGAAGGTAGACGTTTGGCGGGCCACTCGCGCTAGGATGACCACAGCGACGGCCTAGGAACTCCGCGCCGTGGGCCTTCGGCCGTTCTCGAGGCCCGGGGGCTTGCTATCATGCTGGATTTCCCCCGGCATATACCTTCCCGTCGAACCATCTCTTTTCCGCATCGCTTGTTAGGCCTTGGGAGTTGGCTTAAAGGTCAAGCTGTCCAGGTGGGCGGGGGAGCTTTGACGACGGAGCCCGTCCCTCGGAGCTGACCAGCGGTGCGGGAGGAACGAGCTGGGTCGTCGAGAGCTCGTGTGGTGGAGGCGCATGTGATTTTCGAGGGCCCGGGGGGAAGGCCCCAGTCTCAACATTACGTGTTTCTTCTCCCCCGCCTTCCCTCGTCCTGGAAGGTTGAATGGCGAGGGGGGGAGGGGGCGGTAAGGCGTGCAGGCGGAGGTGGAGGTAAGGGGGGGAGGGGGTTTCCAATTGTTGCGGGGTCCTGCAGGTGCCTGACGTCTTTGTCGACTCCCAGGGTCTCGCTCTATCTTATCCGCTCGCGAGCTTCTGCTGCCGCTGCAAGGTTGCGAGCTACGTGCACTATCCGGTCGCAGGGTCGCAGAGCAAGACACGAGCTTGCCTGCTCCAGCGCTTGCTTGAGCGTTTCCCCCCTGGGGTCCCCTCGTCGCTTCGGCTAGGCGTGTGTCGAAACATCTGCCAGGTCGATGTCTCGGAGGGATGTTGGCGATTGTTTTCTTTCTGTTTAGCCGCTTCTTACTTCATTGCACATTGTGCTGACGAGTGTGATTACTTGCTCACGGTCGCTGGATTCGGAACAATAGAGGTCTGCGACAGTACGTCCATACATTGATGCTTGTTTCGCGGGCGTGGCAGGAGGCCGCGATACAGAATTGTTGTTGCAGAACGGAGCTAAGGATCTGTTGCTCGCCTCCTGAGTGCGAAGGGCACTCCAGCTCATCAGACTCATCCTCCCGCCCCTGCTCCTGGAAGGTGGTCTCCTCCGACATGTTGGCGGCCGTTAGAGAGCGGCAGGCGAAGTTCAATAACTCTGGCGCAGTTGCGCGCAGCCCGTTACTCACAAGAGGGGATGGCATCGGGGTTGAGTTTTCGAGATTGCCTAGCAGGAGTGGTTTGCGTATCAAGGGTGGCATTGTGCACACTCCTGGCTCCGTCGCTTGGCCATGGGCCATGGCCGAATACGGGTCATGTACCCCTCTTGGCTACACCCACCCGTGCCTGGCTATCTCCCTGCACGCTTTCATGGGCATCTGCATTGCGGACGCCCGCTCTGTGCGTTGTGTTATCCGTCATCCTTTCGACGCACCTCCTGTGCATGCGCCGCTGAGTGCGCGCACGCCCCAAGCCAGTGCCGTCGCCAGGCCAGCGTGCACGCACGTGTGCAGGTTCATGTCAGCGCAAAGTCTGCGCGAACGTGTCGCTCGCATATGTGCATGTGCGTACTGCTTGCGCACACAGGTTTGTCTAACACTATTAGTGCGATGTGTGAGCGTGATGCTGCACACTCGCTTGCCAAGCAAGTCTTTCTGACAGACTTACCGTTATATTCGCGCCTGCTCCAGGGTCGGCATGTGCTCTGGCCAAACGCAAGCTACACTGTCGAAACGCCAGGCAGGCTAGAATGCAAGATATGCTTATAAGTGAGTGCGTTTCTTTTCGCGATGGGCGTCATTCAAAAGCGATTCCCCCCAACACATAAATCATTTGCAAGGTTTGCGAAGGATCGCTGTACCTGCGCCCGGTCAGCCAACATTTCTGCACGGGCAACGACGGCCAGATTGCAGAGATATATCGCACCAACACAAAACATAAGTTTGTCAGGAAGCATACAGGCAATGAGTATGAGGAAGAGTAGCAGCCTTCCAGCTCCTGCAGCGTACGTTGCAGTTGCCATGCCGCGTAGCTACAACAAAGTTGCATATTGGCAGGTTGCAGCTGGGAAAGTGGCCTGGTGAGAAAGGCCCCAGTAACAGTTACTTTGCGAGCAGTGGCAAACCTTCAGGTGCCGCTGCTGCTGCTTCTATCGTGGGGATGGTTGACGCACAGGCTGCAACCCAGCAAGTGGCTCGAGAGAAAAATGACCACGCCGCATACATGCAACAGGAAGGATGACGGCAGCATGGAGCTGCAAGCCCATCCGTCCAGGATTGTATCCAATTAACCTCCACAATTCATAATCTCCCCAATCGATGAGCCATGTTACGTCCCGTCAGCGGCATTGTTCTTGTAACGTGCCATCACATCAAACTCTGTAGGACTAGATGCAGCAAACGTTGTATCCGATAGCGTTTCTCTAAACAGCGTTACTTGTTGGGCTGTCTTGAACAGCTGATCATACACTAATTGGCATTCCCATCATGCTATTACTTGAAACCCATGATGAAGCCTTGTGGACGTAAGCGCTGATACGATGCCTTGCTAATTTGATGTTTGCTACCCCAGTGAACTCGGAACACCACATGAGTCAACATCGCATCAAGTGTTGCATGATGTTCTGCATGAGGAGTGCTAGGTCATATCTCATCGTATGCTGTTCGCTTCTGCACACTTCGCCACCCCTCCCCACCCCCCGCCCAGCACCCAGCCCAGCCTTTGAGCTTGAGTCCACTCCAAGCCCTTGCCGACGAGGCCCAGTGACTGGTCATTTAAGGTCGACGGATTGAACCAGACACTTGCCAGAGCTACGGAAATGGGCACGCGCTCACGCTTGCACAAGGATATCATGGACCCAAGGGGCACGCAGCACACGTGCAAGCACACACACACACTCACTCGCGGTTGAAAGTGCCCAGTGGAAGAGGTGTTGAGCACGTGCGTATTTGATTTTGTATCCGAGTGCGCTTGATGTGGTTCTCATGCGTGAGGGGTGTTTTCTTTGCCAGCAGGAGTACGCAGAGCGACAATATGGGTTGCCATACCATGTCGCGATGTAGAGGCGCGGCACGTCGCGCTTGCTACGAAGGGGGCAGCGAGGAGCGAAGATATTATACTACAGGGCCTTTGCCAAGATCTACGGATATGCAGGCCGACATTGCGACGTGGTCATGGTCAACAGCTCTTGGACAAAAGGCAGTTCAGGGGAGCGGGGTTGGCGGTTGCCGTTAGAAACGAGGGCTACGCGGGTGTTGGCAGATCACCAATCTATTGGTCACATGGGCAGGTTTGCCAGTGTTTTGGAAGTGGGCACCCTCGCATTGGTATCTCTGGGGATGCGGCACCCCGCTGCGCCCCTCCCGTCTTTGGAAATGGCCGGCTCCTCTTTGGATATGCCCTCCCCGCCCATGTTGCAGCCTTCATTTTCTCTTGGATGATCGTTCGTTCGATTCCAAGCCATGCGGCGTATTCTTGAAGACTCACCGTCCGCTGCAAGGGTGCGCCTAAGGACATCCAAGGTGTAGTTCAAAGGTCTGCGAAGCCTTCGTGATGCAGCTGCGCTGCCGCGCATATCCTCCACCGCGCCACGAGAAGCCGTTTAGCAACCTATATGGCATGGACACGAATCACGGAGGGACAATGAACAATTTTGCCCATACCTTTGCAGTGCGAGTTGGTTGTACTACTCACCAGGGAAATTGCATCGAAGCCTACATTTGTTTGGATCGTTTGGCCAAGAGGGCATCCGTTCCAGGAACGTATTCATCGAACGCATCATATGTTTGATATGTTGCTCTGTTTTGTAAAACGCGATCGTTTCAAATATTGTATGTCCTGCTCCTCGTCGTCATAATCGTCGTGGTCGCTGCGCGAACTGCTGCCAAGGATACGTTCGCGCAGGATCTATTCGTTTGCCAACCGACTGATTCGCAAAGGCGTTCAGAGGCGGATTCCGAGAAGCAATTGGGGACGACGCCGCCATTGTAGGAGGGAGAGGATTCTACATAACTGAAATGCAATGCCACCTACCGGGAAATCGGTTTCGTTTTCGGTTGATGTGGCGCGTGCGGGCGAGGCGATGATGCGCGAGGTCGAGAGATATGATGGTCTGGTAATGTCCATCTTGTCAGAGTGATCCCGCACGCGTGCCCGCGCATACGCGCATGCCTGCACATCTATCTTTCCCAAAATAGATATAGGTACACGTGTGTACGTTTGTATATACATGTATAGATACACAGACACACACATATAGATACATATATATATATATATATATATATATATATCCCTGGACACGAGGCGGGGGTCCCGGGACCCAGCCCCCGACAGCGCATGGGGGGATCGGGCCGCCCAGACCGTGCCAAAAGGGGTCCAGAGGCCGTTCAGACAGCTCAAGGGGTGTCCAAGACGCCCACACAAAGCTCCAAGAGGCCCCAGGTGGACCTCAGGAATGGCCTGGAGGCGGAATCCCTAGATGCCTCCAGAACTTCCCCAGGCGCTCCCCGAGAAGACGTCGGGAGGCCAAAGTTGGGCAATTCCCCAAGGGAGTACACACATTTTCAGCAACCACGCGCTTGAGGTCCCCACTGCGTCTACGACGGCGCCCGAGGCGCCATGCGCTGTTCCCCAATCAGTGCTTGCATGTTGAAGGATTTGGCAAAAGTGTCCCGCCGATTTTGGTTGCTGGCTGGATTCCCGGGTTCCCAGTTCTGGGTTCCCGGGTTCCCGGTTCTGGGTTCCGCACCGATTTCGTAGGGCGGCGAGGTTCCCGGGTTCCGGGTTCCTGGTCGATCTTCTTATCGATCGGTCTCACCATCGATCTCATTACCTTTTTCTCTATCGATCTCATCATCGATCTCACAATCGATCTCATTATCGATCTCACAAGCGATCTCAGTAGAGATCGCATGAGCGATCTCGCGATCGATCTCACTATCGATCTCATTGAATCGATGTCATTCTCGGTCTCACGATCGACCTTACAATCGTCCTCATTATCGATTACACTATCGATCTCATTATCGATATCACAATCGATCTCAATATCCATAGTATTAATTTCCAAATCATCCACTGGTTGGGGTTTTCTCAGGTGTAATTTTGTTTATGTGATTCGTCCGTCTGCTTCGGCCCTCCTGAAAGGAACTCCACCGGTAGTATCGGCACCCCGCCTTGGGCGCCGTAGAAGATTCTGGAGGTTGGCGCCAGGGGGCCAAAGTGCCTGGGGGTGCCAGGAACCCGTGGAACTTCGAGGGAGGCAGAAACTATGGGCCTACGCATCCCGCCGCATGGGGGAGTTGTTTAGCATCTCCCCCTGCCGTCTCTGTACCGCCGCCGCCGCGTTTCGCTGCCGTACGGTATTGTACCGCAGCTGTGTTTGGATACGAGGTACTTGGTCGGCACCGCGGGCCGATTTGGTGTCAGCGGAAACGGGTTGTTTTGCGTCGACGCCGTGTCGTCGTCCGTCCTCCCGCGCTCATACATCCCGTACATATCAGCTTACCAGATTTTGCAGCCATGGCGTTCCGACCCGCCCAGTGCAGTAGCGATACCAACATTGCATCATCTTCACACCCCACATTTGCCGGGGATCCTGTTCCTCTGATTTGATGATGTTGATGATGATGATGGTGATGACGACGATGATGACGACGATGAGGGTGATGACGTGGATGCTGATGTGCATGCTGACGATGAGGATGATGATGATGATGATGCTGATGTTGATGCTGATGATGACGGTGTTGGCGACGATGATGGTGGTGATGATTTTTAGGATGATGGCGATTGCGATGATGACGATGACCACGATGATGATGATGATGATGATGATGATGATGATGATGATGATGATGATGATGATGATGATGATGATGATGATGATGATGATGATGATGATGCTGCTGATGATGATGATGATGATGATGATGAAGATGCTGATGACGATGGCGTTGGTGGCGATGATGGTGAACCTGGTGACGGTGATCATGTTGGTGATGGCCATGGTGTGGTGGTCTTGGTGATGGTGCTGGTGGCGATGATAAAATTGGCCATGATCATCCTCATGATGATGGTATCAGGGCTATGAGGACGACGGTAATGGTCGAGGTGATGGCGATGTTTATCGTGGCCATGATGCTGATGAAAATAATGGTGATGCTGATGATGATGACATTGCGGTGACGATGACACCACCGTCATGGTGACAATGACGACGACGAGGATGGTGATGGTGACGGGGATGTTGATGATGACCATCATCCTCACCAACATCACAATCATGATTACGAGACTGGTGGAAGCGCCTTAAATCGGGACTACAAGAAACCCTGAAATATCTTCCCAGGCGCACAGGTAGCTGTAACAAGCCTCCGGCATGCCCGTTCCGAGCCCCCCACACTTTGGCAATGCTCTCCGAGGCGGGCGCCCGAGTTGATGCTGGACTCATTCGCTCCCGTCGGCCCGTCCGAGCCCCTTACACGCAACGGGCCGGATTTCACCGGAAATCTCTCCAGGAACATTTGGTCGACGGCGCAGCGACGAGGCGAACACTGATGCTCACGGTTGCGATGATATGACCGAATACAATGATGATGGTGATGATATTGATCATGATGATGATGTTGATGATGAGGATGGTGGTTGTGGTGATGGTTTTGATGGCGATGATTACGATGATGATCTTGCCCTTGCCCCAGACAACTCAACATGGCCCCCAGACGGCCCCAGAAGGCTTCCAACAGGCTCCCGTGATGCTTCCTGGATGCCTCCAGGACGGACCAACATGCACCCAATATTGGGCACGACGAAGATATTGATGCTCTTGGTTGCGATTATATCGAGGACCACGATTATGATGATGATGGTGTTGCTTATGCTGTTGCTGATGACGATGGTGCTGGCTTTGCTGGTGATAATGATTGCCTCGCGGATGCTGATGGTAATGGCGAGGAAGAAGGTGACAATGATGGTGATGGTGATTGATGATGGTGATGTTGTTGCGATTGTGGTGGCGATTCTGGTTTTGATGGTCCTGTTATTGCTAATGGGGATGGTAGTGATGATACTGATGAAGATGGTAATCATGATGATGACGGCGATGGTGATTATGATTTTGATTGTGATGCAGAGGATCCGGATGATGATAGCGATGCCGATGCTGATTATGATGATGAGTATTGTGATGATGGCGAGGATGCTTATGGTATTGGTGATGACGACGATGCCGATGCTGATGGTAATGATGATAATGATGATGATGATGATGATGATGATGATTCGAATGGTGCTGTCCACTGTGTTCATGACAATGACGACGACGAGGTTAAGGACGACGTCGACGATGCAGACGGTCATGATGACGATGCTGAGGATGCCGATGTTAGATAATGGTGACGGTGACGATGATGGTGACGATAATCATCCTGACATTCATGATGCTTCTGATTCCTTCTCCTCAATCCGGCGGTGCCTCTGAAGCTGCTGGAGGGCCCCAGAGAAGCACCAGAGGCCGCGAGGACGAGTCCGAGCCATAAAGAGCCTCCCAAAACGACCCAAGCGATCTCGGAGATGCCAGCCAGTCAGATTTCGAAGGCGCCAGACGGGCAAAGAGGCCCCCTTATGACAGCCTGCGAAGTCCCCTCTAGGCCCCAAGGCAGCACCAAGGAGCCTCCAAGAGCCCCCCAAGATGCCCCAACTTGCAATAGTCCAACTGGAAGTGCAAATCGCTCAATCAATGGGGAACTACATATTCTGAACAACTCGTTTTTCCGTTCTCGATTGGCTGGCCTCTCAGGTTTCCAGAGGTTCTCCAGACCGCCCAAGGGGCTTACGAAACGACAGACGAGGACCCCGAGATAGCCTTCAAACATATTCCAGGAGCCCGCCCCCCCCACCCCCCCCAAAAAAATGCCTCCAGAGGCCCCCCGAGGCGGGCAAATCGTTCGGATGGTCTGGGAGGCCTCTCTTGGAATTTTGGGCTGACGACGACGATGATGGGCAACACGATAACACTGAATGTGTGCACGACCAGCGTAGTGGTGTTGATGGTGATGGCGATGAGAGTGAGAATGATTTTGTTGTTGCGAGTGATGCTGATTATGATGATGATGGTGCTGATTGTGAGGATGATGATGATGATGGTGGTGATGGTGATGGTCATCGTGATGGTAATGATGTTGATGATGGTGAGGGGAACGAATGGTGATGATGAGGGTAGTGGTGATGATGATGGTGATGGTGATAGTGATGGTGATGATGGTAAAGAGGGATGATGATGGTGATGCTTATGATGCTGATGGTGATGATTGTGGTGGTGATGACGATGATGACACCGACGATGTTGATCATGATTGTGATGCTGATGGTGGTGGTGATGATGATACGCGAGTTTGATGTGGTGGCCTGTTTTGCAGTATTGGGTAAACTACGTGTTTGATGATCCTCTTGTCGATCAGGCGAATGTTGATTATGATCATGATCCGTACTACGATGGCGACGATCAAGGTGATTAGGAGGAACATGAGAGTCAGGATCGTAATGCGGATGTGGTTCAGTATTGGTACGACTGAAGCACACGCTAATTCATGATAGCGTTGTCCATGCTGTTCCAGCGACTCCTCGCCCTGCTTTAGACCGTGAGCGCGCGCGAAGCGCGCGCTATGGTTCAATCTGTATAGATGTCTCATCGAGGCCGTACGGCCAGTGCCGCCGACCCTGAAGGGGGACGACGACGACGACAAGGAACACGACGGAGAGCACTCACACATTAAAGGCAACCGCATTGAAGTTACCCTCCTGGGTTTGTCTTGGGAGTGCTCTTGGGGCTCTCTTGGGGCTCTTGGGGGCCTCTTGGGAGTTTCTTGGGCGCCTCTTGGGGCCTCCTGGGGGCCTCCTCTTGGGTGGTTTTTAGGGCCGTATTGGACGGTTTTGGGCCATCGTGGGCAGTGCCCATGCACTTTCGGCAGCCCTTTTGGACCGTCTTGGGACGATTGCAGTGGCTTTCTGGGCCGTCTTGGAGCGCCAGAGGGCCGAAAGATGAGGACACGAACAGCATAGAACAAATGAGTGAAGATCCAGGCTGTTCGTCTCTTGAGGCCCTCTTAGAGCTTCTCTTGAAGCCCTCTTGTGGCGTCTTGGGTGTTTCTGAGCTTCTCTTGAAGCCCTCTTGTGGCGTCTCGGGTGTTTCTGAAGCCGCCTTGACGGTATCTTGGGCCGTTTCGGACAGACCTTGGGTTGTTTCAGGGCCCTTTGGAGCAAGGCGCGGTACAAGTGAGCCCGAGGCGTCTGGGAGGCAAGGAAACGAAGGAGAAAGCTTCTTTCAGGGAGGGGTACCCCCCCAGGCGGGGAAGGGATCAACGGGAAGAGGCTTCCCTTCGACTCGATTACGACGTTGCTGGATATCCTCTGGCTGGAACATTTGAGGAGGAGGGCCCAAGGACAGGGACGGGGGGGAGCGGCGACGGCGACAACGACGACGATGACGACTCAAACGGAAAAGCGTCAAGCGAGGGGACTGGCGACGACGACGACGACTCAAACGGAAAAGCCTTTCACCCACGCCGACAAGGCCGGTGGATTCAGCTATACAGGTAGGGGTACACATTGATACGCCATTAGGTCGGTAGACGTACGGACCGATAACCAGCAGCTATTTGCATCCACGCGCATATGGTGTCTACATGCACATGAGCGCTCGTCTGCCTCCCTAATCATCTCTGTCTCGCCAGCTAGTTTCCATCCCGTCGAATGCTTGCCCCCTCCCCACCTCTCCTCGTGTATGTTGCATGTCGCGTGCTTACCAGTTTCATGATTCATTGGACTCACTGCTTCCGCAGTCCTCCGCGCTCCGAGTGCCCTGCACTGGACATCGCCCGTGGATACGAGTAGGGGCATTTCCTAGCTTATCACGATTACTGTTCATCTTGTGGCTGACGCTACGATTTGTCAGCACGCGGTGCGCGTGACGGCCGATTTTTGGGCAACCACGCTGTCCACTATCCTTGCCCCTTGCTTTCATTGTGCTGGATGTTTGAAGTGAACGTTGATGCTACCGAGTTTTGAACGCAGCACTTCCCCGTTTCGGCTGATACGTTTTTGGTAGTGATTCGTATCGATTGGCCCGTGCATTCTCCTTATGTTTGGCCTTACGTACACATATGTACGGATATGTTCATCGGAAACGGACATTCATGCCACCCGTCGAGGAGAGCGCGTTTGAGCTCTTGTCTTCGCACACCGACTGTTGGATTAGTGCGGTCTGGGTAGAGCAAGGCAGCCAAAGGCTAGCGAAGGTCACCTGCTCAGTCAGGTGACCGATTTAGTCCAGCCCAAACATGTCGCTGGAACATCAAATTGCTATAAACAATCAAGAACTAGCCAGCCATCCAAATGCATGCGGCACGTCCCGCCACTTGGCCACGAAGCAGCCTGTGTGGAGATCCATCGGGCACTGCCCACAAGGTCGTTACGTGTGACACCAGTCGTCTCGGCTTCTTGAGGAGCTCTTATTGTGCATGTTTGGGCCCCCTTTCGGATGTCTTGGGCTCCTGTGGTGCACTCTTGGGTGCCAGTATGTCAGTGTCTCGCGTGGTTCTGTCAGGCCCAGGTTCAATGCATGAGTTTGTCCATTACGTGTCTGGTTGTGCGGAGTTTTTTGGGTTCGCATGCTGGTTTTACATAGCCGGGCGGTCAAATTCTGGTGGTCGCGCCCCCTCCTTTTCCAATTGCCCCGCAACAGAAGTTAATGCCACCCAGACGCGAAGCCAATCGCACACCGAAGTCTGCACCATTTTTTCCAAACTTCTTCGCTCGTCGGAATGATGGTCTTGTAGGCACGGGTGTGATGTCTGAGGCGATGGTGGAAAGGAACACGTTGGCCATGATAAGTGTCCGTACGCCCCGCCAGCTCTGACTGCAGCTAGATGTCATGTCCGACACAGGAGACGGCTAGGGGAGGACACATCGTGGAGATTTGGGGGCTGTCACCTGCGATGGTGCACCGGGTCTACCCACCCTGCGATGTTGCGAAGTTGGTTTCTTTGGGCAATGTTGAGAAGGAGCTGGCTATTGTCTCGGTCGCGCAATTTCGCCCTGAGAAGGATCATCCTCTGCAGCTGCAAGCGTTCAAACTCGTTCTGGACAGGTTAAGTCTGCCGAATCTGCGTTTACACCTCGTTGGTGGTGTTCGCAACGAAGAGGACAAAGAGCGCGTCAGGATACTTCGGCAAATGGCAATCGACTTGAACATAGCGGGACAAGTAGATTTTCATGTCGACATGCCATACGCCGATCTTTTGTCGATGTTGGGTCGCTCCGCTTTTGGCCTACACACCATGCGTGACGAACATTTCGGTATCGTCGTTGTGGAATACATGGCGGCAGGGTGTGTACCAGTAGCGCACAACTCAGCTGGACCAAAGATGGACATTGTTCAGGACGGGTGCGGGTTCTTGGCGGAGAGCGCAGAGGAGTTTGCTGACAAGATAATCAAGCTCCTGTCTATGCCTCCAAGCGATCTTGCCGAGATGCGCCAACGCGGGAAACAGGCATCCCAGCGATTTACTGAGCAGGTGTTTTCCCAGGGTGTTTGCGAAGCCATGGCCTCTTTGAGTGATAGGAGCACGGCGCCCTTCCAATAGTCTGGTGTAGCTGGCTGGTTATACAGGAATGCTTCGTGATGTGGCGTCCGTGCAGAGGACTGCTGGCTGCCCGCTATGATCCGGCGATCTGTAAGTTATTACCTAAAAGCGAGGACTGATAGGTTTCTAGTAGTGTCAAAAGAGAGCATCTTGACTCCCCAGGGGGGTCTGGGCGGGTGCCGGGGAGAAGCCGCGGAAGTCGTTTTAAGCAAACAGTTACACACCTCGTGGTCTTCGAGGTCCCAGAACTCCATTCCTGGGCATGATTTTGAATGCCCGGAGCCAACTGTAGGCCATTTCGTGGTCTTCGAGTTCCCAGAACTCCATTCCTGGGCATGATTTTGAATGCCCGGAGCCAACTGTAGGCCACTTCGTGGTCTTCGAGTTCCCAGAACTTCCATTCCTGGGCATGATTTCGAATGCCCGGAGCCAACTGTAGGCCACTTCGTGGTCTTCGAGTTCCCAGAACTCTATTCCTGGGCATGATTTTGAATGCCCGGAGCCAACTGTAGGCCACTTCGTGTTCTTCGAGTTCCCAGAACTCCATTCCTGGGCCACATTTTGAATGCTGAGGCAGGCTGATGCTGAGGCTGAGGCAGACTGAGGCTGAGGCAGGCTGAGGCTGAGGCCGAGGCTGAAGGCAGGCTGAGGCTGAGGCAGGCTGAGGCTGAGGCAGGCTGAGGCTGAGGCTGAGGCTGAGGCTGATGCAGGCTGAGGCAGGCTGAGGCTGAGGCGAGGCTGAAGGCTGAGGCTGAAGCAGGCTGAGGCTGAGGCTGAGGCTGAGGCTGAGGCTGAGGCAGGCTGCTGAGGCTGAGGCTGAGGCTGAGGCTGAGGCTGAGGCTGAGGCTGAAGCAGGCTGAGGCTGAGGCTGAGGCAGGCTGAGGCTGAGGCTGAGGCAGGCTGATGCTGAGGCAGGCTGAGGCTGAGGCTGAGGCTGATGCAGGCTGAGGCTGAGGCAGGCTGAGGCTGAGGCCGAGGCTGAAGGCAGACTGAGGCTGAGGCTGAAGCAGGCTGAGGCTGAGGCAGAGGCAGGCTGAGGCTGAGGCTGAGGCAGGCTGATGCTGAGGCAGGCTGAGGCTGAGGCTGAGGCTGATGCAGGCTGAGGCTGAGGCAGGCTGAGGCTGAGGCCGAGGCTGAAGGCAGACTGAGGCTGAGGCTGAAGCAGGCTGAGGCTGAGGCTGAGGCAGGCTGAGGCTGAGGCTGAGGCAGGCTGATGCTGAGCAGGCTGAGGCTGAGGCTGAGGCTGATGCAGGCTGAGGCTGAGGCAGGCTGAGGCTGAGGCCGAGGCTGAAGGCAGACTGAGGCTGAGGCTGAAGCAGGCTGAGGCTGAGGCAGAGGCAGGCTGAGGCTGAGGCTGAGGCAGGCTGATGCTGAGGCAGGCTGAGGCTGAGGCTGAGGCTGATGCAGGCTGAGGCTGAGGCAGGCTGAGGCTGAGGCCGAGGCTGAAGGCAGACTGAGGCTGAGGCTGAAGCAGGCTGAGGCTGAGGCTGAGGCAGGCTGAGGCTGAGGCAGGCTGAGGCTGAGGCTGAGGCAGGCTGAGGCTGAGGCTGTGACTGCGACTGCCGTTGCCACTGCGACTGTCATCGCGAATGCGACTACGATTGCGAGAACAGCAGAATTCTACAACTGGATTCTCATCTGACTCTTAAGGGGAATGCTTCCAGATATGCTCCTACACATCGCTGTTAGGTTGCTTTGCCGGGATAATTACCTAACAGCGAAGACTGATGGGTTTCTAGTGGGGTCAAAGAGAGCATCTTGACTCCCCAGGGGGGTCCGGGCAGGATCCGGGGAGAAACCGCGGAAGTCGTTTTAAGCAAACAGTTACACACTTCGTGGTCTTCGAGGTCCCAGAACTCCACTCCCGGGCCACATTCTGAATGCCCGGAGCCAACTGTAGGCCACTTCGTGGTCTTCGAGTTCCCAGAACTCCATTCCTGGGCATGATTTTGAATGCCCGGAGCCAGCTGTAGGCCACTTCGTGGTCTTCGAGTTCCCAGAACTTTATTCCTGGGCGTGAGTTTGAATGCACGGAGCCAACTGTAGGCCACTTCGTGTTCTTCGAGTTCTCAGGATTCCATTCCCGGGCCACATTTTGAATGCTGGGGCATGCTGAGGCTGATGCAGGGTGAGGCTGAGGCAGGCTGAGGCTAAGGCCGAGGCTGAAGGCAGACTGAGGCTGAGGCTGATGCAGGCTGAGGCTGAGGCTGAGGCAGGCTGAGGCTGAGGCTGAGGCAGGCTGATGCTGAGGCAGGCTGAGGCTGAGGCTGAGGCTGATGCAGGCTGAGGCTGAGGCAGGCTGAGGCTGAGGCCGAGGCTGAAGGCAGACTGAGGCTGAGGCTGAAGCAGGCTGAGGCTGAGGCTGAGGCAGGCTGAGGCTGAGGCAGGCTGAGGCTGAGGCTGAGGCAGGCTGAGGCTGAGGCAGGCTGAGGCTGAGGCTGAGGCTGATGCAGGCTGAGGCTGAGGCAGGCTGAGGCTGAGGCCGAGGCTGAGGCAGACTGAGGCTGAGGCTGAAGCAGGCTGAGGCTGAGGCTGAGGCAGGCTGAGGCTGAGGCTGAGGCAGGCTGATGCTGAGGCAGGCTGAGGCTGAGGCTGAGGCTGCAGGCTGAGGCTGAGGCAGGCTGAGGCTGAGGCCGAGGCTGAAGGCAGACTGAGGCTGAGGCTGAAGCAGGCTGAGGCTGAGGCTGAGGCTGAGGCTGAGGCTGATGCTGAGGCAGGCTGAGGCTGAGGCTGAGGCTGATGCAGGCTGAGGCTGAGGAGGCTGAGGCCGAGGCTGAAGGCAGACTGAGGCTGAGGCTGAAGCAGGCTGAGGCTGAGGCTGAGGCAGGCTGAGGCTGAGGCTGAGGCTGAGGCTGAGGCTGAGGCTGAGGCTGAGGCTGAGGCTGAGGCTGAGGCTGAGGCTGAGGCTGAGGCTGAGGCTGAGGCTGAGGCTGAGGCTGAGGCTGAGGCTGAGGCAGGCTGAGGCTGAGGCTGAAGGCTGAGGCTGAGGCTGAAGCAGGCTGAGGCTGAGGCTGAGGCAGGCTGAGGCTGAGGCTGAGGCAGGCTGATGCTGAGGCAGGCTGAGGCTGAGGCTGAGGCTGATGCAGGCTGAGGCTGAGGCAGGCTGAGGCTGAGGCCGAGGCTGAGGCAGACTGAGGCTGAGGCTGAAGCAGGCTGAGGCTGAGGCTGAGGCAGGCTGAGGCTGAGGCTGAGGCAGGCTGATGCTGAGGCAGGCTGAGGCTGAGGCTGAGGCTGATGCAGGCTGAGGCTGAGGCCGAGGCTGAGGCGAGGCTGTGCGACTGAAATGCGACTACGACTGCGAGAACAGCAGAATTCTACAACTGGATTCTCATCTGAATCTTAAGGGGAATGCTTCCAGATATGCTCCTACACATCGCTGTTAGGTTGCTTTGCCGGGATAATGTCTTTTCCCAGGGAGGGCGAATCGTGGATCGGTGGTTTGCGCGTGTAAAACATCGTGCTCGCAAGCGTTTTTTTGTTTGGGCACGGCAGTGGGAACCATAGGGCAGCTAGAGATAAGTGCGGGTGCAGTAACAATCTTGCGATGCCAGTTTTCAATTGGTCAGGCATTAATGTGCCATGTTGCGGAAGGGGCTTTTGGTGGTGAAGATGCATGCTAGGATCCCTGATGGCATCGGCTTCGTCGGCCATTGCCATTGCCTGAGCAATTGTTCGCCAATAGCTCTTCGGGTATTCTTGCCCATTCGATGTGCACGCTAAGGACTGCGACCATGCCGCAGCCAATTTCGGGCAAGACGTCCGCTACGAACTTGCCCGTCAACCACGCTTGGTGGACCTTTCAGGCTATCCGGCTTGATGTTTTCTCAATGCCGCTTGTACACACATGCAAGTGCTATTCCGAGATCCACAAAACAACACTCGTCAGTGCTTGAGGCTATGGTTACAGCCGCCATGCTGCATCATACTCTTGCTTACGCGCGTCACCATGAGAGTTATCCGGCCATTGCGTTATGCTTATCCAAACCGCTTCGCGGAACCACGTCTGGACCACGATAGGGGCATGGTTCCATGTGACGTTTTTGTGGCAAGGTTTTGTCTTCAGAACAGGCGAGACTATCTACATCTTGTGGTCGGTGTGCAGTGCGGAATCCGTACATCAGCCAGTCCCCATCGTTCGGTCCATACGCTTACGTCTTCCGACCTCTGGGGTCCGCTAGGCTATGCATGGCATTGGCTGGACAGCATCCGCGGTCGTAGTCGATGCGCGCGGTGGAAGCTATGTTGTCGCAACGGTTGCGATGATGATGCTGGTCATGATGTAGAGGGCAGCCACCGTTTCGGTAGAGTTCAGTGTGTTTGATCTCGGACACCTACAGGCATGTGCCCTCTGCCGCTGGGGCCACCAGGTTCAGCCATCTGGTGGCTATATTGGAACAGCTTGGGGGCCACCAGGTTCAGCCATCTGGTGGCTATATTGGAACAGCTTGGGGGCCATCATGTTGCACCTGTGGGCTTCTGCGGGCATATTGGGGCCATCTTGGGTCCAACTTGAGGCACATTGGGGCCGATCTTGAGGGCCTCTTGGGGCCCTCTTGGGGCCTCGTTGGGCCATCCTGGGCGATTGGGACGGCATCACCTTGGGGCCGGCTTGGGCAATCTCGGGGGCTGTGGGGGCCGTATTGAACAGATGTTTGGGCTATCTTGGGGCCACAACGTCGGAGGTTGGGGCAATCTTTGGTCGCCTTGAGCTCTTGAGGCCATCTTCGCAGCCTCCTCGGGCCGTCTTCGAGGTCTCTTGGGCACTCCTGGCCGCGGGGTGGCTCTCCTATTGGAACCCTAAAACAACCCAGAGCGGCCCGCAATTTGAGACATCCCCCCCTGGTGGACCGTATCAATGGGGACAGGACTCAAGAGACAACGAGCCACAGGCAACACACATTTTCTAACACAACATGTAGTAGCACAATTCGTCTCAGTCGGAGCCCACGGGGGAGGGGGGGTGCGGTGGCTTTTATTTTGATTGAGCGATGTATATGGAGGCAATATGATGCGATGTGCTACTTCGATGACGCGCGCGAAGGAGTGGTTGAACATCGTAATGCGCTTGCGTGCAAGACAGTCGAAGCTGGATTTCTTGTACTAGAGGCTGCGAGCGCGATCGGTCATGTCTGGAGCTGATTGGTTTGTTCCAGGATGTCTCATTGCTGGGCCTCACTTCTCTTCTCTGGACGCCCTAGGTTCCTGCTCCCTGCTCCCTTGAGGGAGCGCCGCACCCGACCAACGTCAGCGGCGCAAGCGACCGTTGGTCGGAGGGTGCGCTCCAAAGTGTAGAATTGTGACTTGGGGGTCCAGCGCCTCACTGACTTCGAGGAGCCCGCGCCCTCCCCTCCGCCCCGCCCTGTGGGGTCCCCAGGCTTGCGGCGGCCCCTGGACACCGCAGGACATAAGTGGAGGCTGCTTCCGTGGCCCCTTGGCCATGCTGGAGGCTGCGCCGCCTATGAGCATACTATGTGCGGTGGCCGCTGGGCCTGCTAGAGGCTGCTTCTCACGTGAGGCTCCGCCCGCAGCGGCCCCTGGAACTTGCTAGAGGCTGTCCGGCACGTGATACTTCGCGTACGGCGGTCCCTGGAGCTTGCTGGGCGCGTCTCCACGGCCAGCGGCTGCACCTGACCCTTGCGGGCGGCCATTCCGCGCTTTTGCACAACATGAAGTTTCGTATTCGTTCGCCCTTGTGCGCGTTTCGCGGTGGACCAACACCGCTTGTGACGCAGCGCAATGTTTCGACTTCGATTCCCCCACCCGTAACCGTGCCCCGAGGCGCCCCCAATCGCGGAGCGAGACCCCCGCCGATGCGACGCAGCTGCGGCAACGCGCGTGATGCGACGCTGTGTATCGATCCCGATGTCCTTGTCGGCTGAAACAGTGTGAGCCTGGCCGCATTGAGGGCTGAGCGGCTACCCGCAGCGCCTGCGCGCCGCTGTTGCGCGGGGTTGGGTGCTGGCCCCGCAGCGGTCTGCCCCCGCATTGGCGCCGGCATTTGCCCCGGGTGGCCTCGCAGGATGTTGTGCCTCATATTGTAATGTTGTCAGCGGCGCTGCGAGCGTTTTTTTCCGCAGCTGCTGTGCGGCGCAGCAATTTGGCGGGTAGAAGATATCGCGTTATGCTTGTACAGAAGTTCTTATCGTCATTGTTCCAGATGGAAACGAGTGTTAGTCCAGTTATCGGCAGAGTGGCAGGGCAGAAGGAAACACATAGGGTGGCACAGCCACATGAGACACGCGTTGGTCAGTCCAAACTGCCGTCGAGAGAGAGAGAGAGAAGGTTAACCCGATGTGCGACCTTAAGTTTAACCCGATGTGCTATATTATTGCTTGGCGTTCATGTTTTGACTTCCTATCGCACTTATGTCCAAATCGCATTATCACTTATGTTTATCTGGGGCATTCGCCTCGCCAAACACAACGTCGCCGAACAAATGTTAGCGGAGTTTTCGAACGGTGTTTCGCATAGCGTTACGTGACCTAATTTACCGTGTCGCCTCGTGGGCGAATGTTGCGAATCCCGAGTTTAGTTCAGCTTGGCTTGGCTTGGAATGAAGAAGCTCGGCTCAGCGTGTGTGGGCTTGACTTGGTCGCTGGATCAGCCCCGCACGGTCGAGCTGAAATGAGCGTATCTGGGAGATCCCACGCCGAGTTCTTCGAGTAGTCTAGCCGAGTTGGGTTCAGTCGGCTGTCTTCAGCTTGGCTTAGCTAGTATGAGAGGTCAGACAAAAAGGTGTTGCCCAACCGGGGCATTTTTTTCTTGGGCGTGCGCTCGCGGTTCAGAATGGTCCGCTGCTGGGATGGGTACTGGGGGCGGACACTGAGGGCGGACTGTTGGGATTGGTACTGGGGATGGACACTGGGGATGGACATTGAGGATGGACATTGGGGATGGACGCTGGGGACGGACACGCGCACACGCACCGCTTGCGCACCCCGCTCTCGCATCCGCGACTGCGGGGGGATATGTCACCTTAGTTGGGTCCAGCTGAGCTGACCAGAGCTTTGCGTTTCTTACGCTATCACAGCTTTATGCAAGTGGACGTTGTCGAGCCTTGGCGAAAGTCATGCGCATGTTCACTCAATTGGCTTCCGAGCGATTCAGATTGCAAGAACTGGGCTCTCTCGGGGCATCGTGGATTAATATTGGATTCATTCGGGATGGAGGAGGGCGGGGCAGGGTTGTTGTTTGTTCCTTGAATATTTCGGGCCTCAGCATGTCCACAAGTCGCCCGCCGGAAAGCCCAGCGAAACGCAGGAAGAGGGCGTTCTCGGACTTACGTAGGACGGGTGGCCATCCATCTGCACCGTCTGCGGCTGGAGACGCTTGCTTTGCCAGGTATGTGGGAGATTTGTGTATATTTTTTTCTGGCCTCGGGGCAGGGCCGTTGTCGCCATGTTTGGCCATTGTTCGTCGGACGATGCCGTGATGCAGTTTTGGGTGACACATGCTTGAGCAAGTGGCGTCTGCTCCGCTCGCGTCGAGCCATCTCGAAGCACGAAAGAGTTGGCTGGGTCGGGTCAAGCAAACATCGCTGCGCTTATCTGCTTAGTTTCGCTTTGCTTTTTGGGAAAGGGAGGTCGTGCTCCGCTTGGATCGGAGGGCATGGTGGGTCCTGGCCAGGGGGGGCTCGTTCGGGTCCTGGGAAGGGGCCCAGTGGGCCATGGGGGCTGGGCCAGGGGAGAGGAGTGACCGTGGGGCAATTCGCGGCCCGCCGCCGTGGGGCCCTAGACGCATAAGCAGCGCCCGCGGCTCGCCCTGGAAAGTTTGAGTGCAACGCGTATGCGAGGAAGCTTGGTGGGGCTCTGTGGGAAGGCCGCGATCCCGTGGGCGTGCACGGGAGGGGGGCGGGGACCTGGTGGGGTGGTGTGGGGGGGTGCAGTGGAGGGGCATGAGGGCCCAGCGGCATTCGCATGAGGCTCAGCGGGGGCGCCGGTTTTGGTTGACCAGAGACGCGTCGCGAGAGACGCGTTGCGTTAGCACAAATCAGCGTACACGGTGGGCTTCAATAGGCGTTTGTCCTGCGTCTTTGAAAGACATCGGCACCTTCGGTGGCGGTTATCTTTGTTTCTTTGGACTTGTCAAGAACAAGTGCCCCACTCCTATCCGTGTCAGCATGGGATCTTGCAATTCTTGTCGTTGTCGGGTGTATTCTTTTCTCGCGGAGTAGACGGCCTGAACTCGTAAATGTTGACTGACTGGACTGACTGGACGTGTCGCACCCGCTAGGCGGCTGCTCCAGTGCTGGCTGCATGACTCGCAACTTCTGGCGCACCCAATTTATTATCCACAGCCGAGCGCACAATGTGTGGAGCAACCAGCAGCAGGCCGTTTTATTCGCTTGCCTGGCGCGCCACCTGTGGCGCATCCATGGAAGGTAGTTTTTATGATTGTCGGTCGAGCGCACAACCTGTGGCGCAATTACTCGCATGTTGTTTTAGTTATAGCCGCCGAGTGCGCAACGAATAGCAGACCGTTTAAGTCCCTGTCGCGAAGCGCGCAACCTATGGCGCTACCATCAGCACGCCATTTTAGTTTCGGCTGCCGTGCGCGCAGCCTATGGCGCAACGTATGGCCCAGCACATGGATAACCAATGGCGCACATTATGTTGCGCATTCCATGTTGGAACCCATGGGTGACACAATCCATGGCGCAACACATTGCGCAGTCTATTGCCCAGGGTGATTGGCTTTCGAAGCTTCTACGTGGCTGCGCCCAATTAGTGCTCGCCGTTTGGGCTGGCGGTGGGATCCAAGCGGCGAGCTGTCTTGTGATTTACCCTGGCGCGTGTGGATTATGTCTTACCGTATCCGTCTGGCTCAAGGCCGTGGGCCGCAATCAACCGCCCTGCGGGCCGCAATCAGCCGCCCTGCGATGGTCTTGGTTTATTTGTCGAGCATCGCTGGGGCAGCCCTGGAGCGCGAGGTGGACCCGAGCGCCAACGTCCGCTCGCTGAAGGACTCGCTGGCCGAAGAGTGGGCGGTACCCTCACGGTTCCTGGCCCTGCTCCGTCAGAGCCAGGTGTTGGCTGATGCCGAGCTCGTTGGCACGTTGAGCTCCAGTTCTGACGTCCCCGTGCAGCTGACAGTGTTGGTGTCGCTAGGGCCTGTGAACGAAGACCTTCAATCTGGCAGGGCAGACAGGCAGGCCATGGCGCTGCAGGCCCTGGCGGACTTGGGCCAAAGAGGTGGTGCCGCCGCCGTAAATGCTGTGGCCGCATGCTTGGAGGACGAGGATGCCTTTGTCCGCGGCGAGGCGCTTCGCGTGCTGCCCAGGGTGGCAGTGAAAGACGATTCTGCGGCCGTCGCCGCTGTGTCTGCCCGCCTGAAGCACGAATGTGCGGGCGTGCGTCGTGCGGCGGTGCAGGCACTGGGTCTCATCGCGGACAAGGGCAATGCAGACGCGCTCGCTGCAGCAAGCGCGTGCCTGGAGAATGCCAGCGAGGGGGTGAGAGAGGCAGGCGTGCAGGCGATAGCCCAGGTGGCCCGGGCTTGCGACCAGTGGGCCCTGGCGGTAGTCCAGGCGCTATCGGACGACGAAGATGAGCGCGTGAGGCGATCCGTCGTGCATGCTCTCTCGCGGCTTGCTGAGAAGGCCGACCACACACCCGACGGGGCCGGCGAGGGCGTGATCGCTGCCGTCTGCACTCGCCTCGCAGACGAGGACCCAGAGGTGCGGCGGGCTGCGGTGCAGGGGATCGCCAAGCTGGCGGACCGGGGCGACTCCAGAGCGGTTGCCGCGGCCCTTTCGGGACTGGAAGATGAAGACGAGGGCGTCCAGCATGCCTCCATTCAAGCGCTCGGCGAGATCGGACCTGAGGGCGACGCGGGCACTCTTGCCGCTGTCAGCGGGCGGCTTGAGCACAGCAACGTGTATCTGCGGCGCGCCGCGGTGCTCGCAGTGTCGCGGTTGGCGGAGGTGGGCAACGCGCGAGCCATCGCAGCTATTGGGGCGCGCCTGGAGGACGCGGACGCGTTCGTGAGGAGAGGCACTGTAGAGGCGTTGTCTGCGGTATCCGAGACGGGCGACCAGTTGGCAAAGGAGGTTGTCCGTGCACGGCTCGGGCACGCCAGGGCGGGCGTCCGCAGGACCGCGGTGCAGGCGCTGGGTGCCGTTGCGCGAAAGGGCGACCCCGACAGCTTGCTCTCGATCACGAAGCTTCTTGAGGACGAAGATGAATACGTACGACTGGCTTCAGTGAGGTCCCTCTTGCGCGTGGCGATTCGCGGCGACAAGGGCGCCATCGCTGCGATCTGCGCGCGCCTCGAGGACAGCGACGCCTTTGTCCGCCAGGCTGCGGCTGAGGCCGTTGGAAAGCTTGCGTGGCGCGGTGACAGCGATGCTGTGCGGCACGTGTGCGCGAGGTTGGATCACGAGGAGCCTTTTGTGCGCGCGGAGGCAATTCGCGCTGCCGCAGAGGTTGCCACGCCCGACGACGCAGCCGTGATCGGTTCCATACGCTTGAGCTTGACACACCAGCGCGAGTTCGTGCGCGACGCAGCCCAGGCTGCGCTGGTGCAGATCGAGGGGGGCGAGGCCCATGGACATCGCGGTGAAGAGGCTGAGAGGGCAGCCAGCGGACTCAGAAGAGGGCGCAGGAAGAGGGCATTCTCGGACTGAGGGCGGTTGGCCATCGGAAGGCACGCGCGGCCAGGAAAATGTTGATCCCCCTCCCCGGCGAAGAAAGTGCTGCAAAGACGGCTGCCTGAGACCCGTGGGCTGCCACGTTACGCGGCGTCCTCTGCGCGAGTGACGCGGCCACTGCCCCGCGCTTACGGGGCTGCCGCGTCCTTTGGCGCCACCGCCAGCCAGAGTTCTGCTCTCCTCAACGCCAGGGGCGGTTGCCTGGTGGTGCGTCGCCCCGCTCTTGTGCCCCACGTGGGCCAGTGGCCGCTACTGCTACCGCCTTTCCCTCGTGGGCGTGCCGCGCGTGTTGCTCGCTGTGTGGGCCACGCTGGAGCTTGGCGGCTTCCTGAGGCGGCTCCAGATCCGCAGGCTGTCCCCCCCCCCCCTGGCTCTTTCAATTGCGCGACTTGCGAGCGGTCCGCCCGCGCCGCCTCCAGTCTTGTCCGAAACTGCAGGGGCTCATGCGTTTATACGACGTACATGATTACGTACCCACGCAGAGCTGAAACGATGCCATATCGTATCTTGTAACCATTGCTCAAGCAATGCGCATCGGGAATATTCGACATGTTGGGCCTTGGCGTCGGACGCCATAACACAACCCTCTTAGACTTGTTATCAGGGGCCCTCCCCAGGGTCCCAGGATCCGACTTGCAAAGTGACAGGAACCAGTTCGGTTGCTACACTTCCTGGCAGAAGACGGCGGGTGTCGACTCTCCAGTTATTGCCCTCCCGCCCACGCCCCAGGTCTGCGCGACCCAGGTCACAGAGGTTCCCGAGCGCGGGACGGACCGTGCGTTCCGCCTTCTTGCGTCGCTCGTTTGTTCGGGAGAGTCTTAGAGGCGTGGTACAGGAGGGAGGGAGGGAGGAAGGGTGGGGAGTGGACACATTGGGGAGAGTAGGGTGGGGAGTGGAGGGCAGGGAAAAGACGATTTGGCAAGCACAGAGTGTAGGGGGGAAGGCGAGGGAAGATCGGGTGGGGATAAGCTGGATGCATCCACGACACATTTGCCTCCCCACCCTCCCGCCCATTCCTTCCACCGCGCTGATGTTTTCTATCCGGCGACGGGTGCCATAGCGGCGGACCTGGAATCCCCGCAGCACAACATCATCGTGTGGTGTGCAATCAGTACGGAGGAGCTGCGTACACTGGATGCGGAGGAGTAGCAGGTGGCGGACGAGCTGCAGGATTATCAGGATGAACAGGAGGAGGAGGAGGAGGAGAAGGAGGAGGACGAGGAGGAGGAGGAGGAGGACGAGGAGGAGGAGGAGGAGATGGAGGAGGAGGAGGAGGAGTAGCCGAGGAAGGAGGGGGACAATAAGGAACTGGCGAGAGCGCCATTCTGAGCAACGGGAACAAAGCGCCGATCGTAACATGAAACGCACGAAGCAGCGGGGGCGCCATTTTGAATCTCCGATAGAGTCCCGAGTGAACACAACTATCTAACATATAGCGTTTGGAGTTCCGCTTGATTCAAATCAATTCTTGCGCGGGGGAACCGGGACACTGTCAGCACGTAGTCGGGTAGGGGGAGAGCAGTATTCAGGTTGAGTAGCTTTGGACAGGGGGCCACCTTTTTTTAGACCAGTGCCAGCTGGGCTGCCAATGACACCAGCCAGGATGGGAACAGGCCGGCACACGGGGCCCTCGCCATACTCGGATCTCGAAGAGCGCATGGACACGAACGCCCGAGCGAATGTGCCTGGTTGAAGCCGCCATCAGGATCTTCGACCTTGCCGGATATTGGCACACATTGCCATGTGCAACGGTTGCGCTGAAACCGAGATCACCCACCCTTCATGAGCAGTTGCACGCTCGGTCATCATCACGAAGCCGAGAGAGGGGGGGGAATAGAGAGCCAAGTGCGTGCTGCAGTGCTGCTCAAACGCGCCAAGCCGCCTGTAATGCCTTACTGAACACAGAGTGCAGATCACACTGTGCATAATAACAGCATGAACGTGGAACCGCAGCTTGTTCAGCTGCGCGCTTGGGCATGACCCAAGGTTGCCTGGCCCTCCGCCTGCTTGAGTGAACTGGTCGCGCTGAATTGAAGACAGCTAAACGTTAGCGCATGTCGGCCGTGGGAGGTGAGCGGGGTCAACGAGGCAATACCACCGACAAGCGAAATACAAATGAGCGATGCGCGATGTGCCTTTCATCAACCCGTTCTCACTCGCAGTCGTATTTTCATTTAAGGGCGGATAGCGAAGCACGCGATATACACAGCTTTTTTTCTGAACCACCTCGAGGACACCGAGAGTGAGCGTTTCTACGGCTTCAAGGATGATGACGGGAACATGCGTTGGGTGAAGTTGATGTTGCTTACGCTCTTAGGTCAGGCGCACCATGGAGACATAGTGTTTCTCACGCTGACCTCTTGCGTTTGTTTTCTGCGTCATTACTTGCTGGCTATATGGTCTGGTCGAGTACTTCGGTACTGGTAATTTGTTTTGAACCATGTTTGATTTAAGTTTGCAGCCTTTAGCCATGCCGATTCATTCAGCACTGCTTCACATCATGCTCCAGCTCGGGGAAGGACAGGATGGTGGAGACATACACTCTGTGCTCCTATGACCCGGGCACGTTTCGCGTGCGTGTAAGTTGGTTTACGCGGGTAATTGGACAACGTGTTCTGTGTTCGGCAGCGGGGCACGCTGTGTGGGCAGTGCAAGGTGCAGGGTGCATTCCATAGCTAGAGTAGCTAAAGTCCCCAGTTTCGTACGGGGCGTAATGAGTCAGTAAGCATATCTCCCCCAACTACGTACGTCATATGCCGATCCTGTTTGCTCGAGGGGGTAAGTGCTTTCAGGAGGTTCGTCTCGTATTGCGTCGCCTGCGTCGTGGGCTTGTCATGCACACTCTTAACTATCCGTCCGTCCCTCCGTTTCTTGCTGCGTCCCTCCCCCATCCCTTGCCCCCTGCGGCCCCTTCCTTCTTCATTTCTCTTGTCTTTTCATGTGCAGCTCGAGACACGTGCCTCGCAATATTTTGCCCGCCCCGGGGGCAATTTTGGATGGAGAGCTGGGCGGGGGGGGGGAGAGAGGGGGAAGGGAGGGGGCGGGGCGGGGCGGGGAAGGACAGGGTAGACTGTGGTTATGTTGTCCCTTGCCAGGCTGGGAAATACAGACGTAACAATACGACGTTCAATTCAAGACTAAGATCAAATTGTTGGGGGGAGGGAGAGAGAGAGAGAGAGAGAGACAGAGAGAGAGAGAGAGAGAGACAGAAAGAAAGAAAGAAATAAAGAAATAAATAAAGCGAGAGAGATAGAGAGAGAGAGGGAGAGAGCGAGACGGAACGTTGGTTTGGGTGGATGGGGCGATGGGTAGGAGTGGCGGGAGGGCTAGGAGTGATCTGAGGGATGGACTCGTGACGGGCTGATGGATGAACGGCACCTTGGGGGAGGGAGGCGGGGATTGATGGAACTTGGATGCAGCGATGAGACAATGCACTCCTTCCGCACCACCAACCTTTCGCCCTGCCTGTTCCTTCTCCTTGCGCGCACTGCCCGACGTACTGACTGCTTCTGCTTCCGCAGCTATACCACTTTGGGCTCTATGGAAACAGAAAAGGAGCGAGCCTGCGGCGCGTGCGCGTGCGGCGGCCGGCGGGCCGGCCCCCTTCCCTTCAGTGCTACCTTAGTGTATGTTCAACGGCATTAGCCATTCGTCCCCATGTCATCGGACCATGAAATACGATCGGAACATATTGCAAATATTACGCATATCCAGGCAAGAGACTGGTTATCAGCCGAAACGACGGCACAGTCGCTAGCTTCGCAGAGCATGGGATCACAAGAAGGAGCGCTCGAACGAACGGAAGACCGATGCCTTTCCGAGCGTAACGAAAGTATTGGCGCCTCAACGAGGCGACAAAATCTTCTTAACCTTCCCAGGAAACAAGCGTCAGAGACTGTGCGAGATCTTGAGCGCAATCCTCGGGCGGAAGGTATGGCACAGCCAAAACTTCCGCCGAGGGACCATCTGAGTTGGTGCTGGTACACCCTAGCTTTCAGCCATCGATCGACATAGATCTTGAAATGGAAAAGTTGTTGGATCACATCCACATCGGAATGTCGGGCGCCAAATGTCTAGGCGCAGGACATGCGGCGCAGTTCGCGCTGCATGGACACAGCGAGGATATGAGCGACTTCCAGTCGGAAGGGGATAGTTTTCATTCGATTGAAAAGAGCGAAGAATATGCCCGATTCCACACCTCGCCTGGTCCATCGCATCATCTCGATCCTCTCCCCGACCTGTGTGTCGGGCTCGCTTCAGTCTCAGACCCGTTAGTGAGTGCGACGATTGACCATGTAACGATTGCGGCCAGTCAGAAGGCCATCCTTGCTTCGGACGACGATCTCCAAGACGAAGGAAACCCAGACCGAGGTGGATGCCTGTCGGCACAGCCGATGTCGAGCTACCCCGACGCAGTGCGTGCAGTGAGGAATACGCGAGAAACTACAGGCATGGCTTCCCGCCCATTGACGAGGAAGCCGAAGGGTGAGAACGAAGACTTAAACACCTCGCCCTTATTGCAGGGTTTCTATAGACCAGACCTTTCATTGCCCAGGGCTCACAGGGACAGGGTACCAGAACTTGATGAGCTCGTAATGCAGGGCGGAAGAGATGTTTTAGCGCAGAGCATGGACGTTGATATCATCAAGAGGAGTGTGAGTGCAAGAGAACAACACACGCCTACCCCCAACAGTGAAAGGGGGCGTTCCAGTAAGGCCCCCAGGGCCGGACGTTCCAGCTCCGGGGGGTTTAACGCCCTTGAATCGCCGCGGATGTCATCGAACAGAACCACCAACAGCTTCTCGATACCGGGGGGCTGCTGGAACGCCGGGTGGGCGGAGAATCGATGCCGGGGGAAAGCGCACAAACCGGGGAGTTCATGTAGAAGGCCAGTGTGTTCTCAATGTTCGAATGTTTGCTCCAAGTGTAGTCTGGCGTGGCTTTATGGCATACCACGATGGAGGAGCATAACTGCCATCGTATCGCTTTTCAACAGTGGGCGGACATAAATAGACAGGATCGGGAACAGTTGAGGGCCGCGAGCGCACTCGCGCAACATATCATCTTTGAGGCGCAAGAAAATATGAGGACCGCCGAAGAGGCTCAACGATTGCTTGCAGCTTCCGAGGCTGCGAGGCAGGCAATGGCACCAAATATGGAACATGAGAAAAGCATCGCTTTGGAAAATGCGCAGAAACAGATATTGCATGCTGCGGCGAGCGCAGCAGGGGTTACAGACGAAGCCCAATGGCGCCTTGCCCAAGAGGAAATTGAAAGACTGAGAATCCAGAGCATAGCCGAACAACTGGTGTCAGACTCTCAGCAGAATGCTGAGAGGGAGAAAGCTGCATACAGAGAAAAGGCCGATGCAGCGAGGAGGGGGGAGAGAAGGAAGCCCGAAAACAAGCTGCGCGAGAAAATCAGGAGCTCCGCAATCAACTTGAAGCTGCTAGACTCGAGGCCGAAAGAGTATAATCGGAAGCCCAGCGAGCCCTTCGAGAACAATAACAGAAGGCCCAGGTAACCAGAGATGAGGACCAGAAGAGAATGGCCGCTGCCTGGGATCGTCTGAAGGTGCACGCAGATGAACAGATAAGAAACAGTTATCTTGCAATTTCGGCCGCGAGCGAGGAAAATAGGAGGTTAAGGTCTGATCTGGGGCATCATCGGGTGGGCAAAGAACCGCGGGATAAGGTTCGGTTAGCCGGGCTACCCGCGACAGAATCTTCGCCTGAAGTAGGGTCCACGTTTACGGCTTCGCTGGCAGAAGTGGGCCCCGGGGAAGAGGTCGAATCGACGCCGGCGCGGCGCCGGCGCGCGTTGGGCCGCCCCCTCGCCCGATCGCTGCTCGCCCTAATAGGGCGCCTGGCACCTCGCAAGCTCGCGCGCGAACAGGCACTCCGAGCCATATCTGTCACATCTGCGCAGAACCTTCGACCGAAGTATGCAGGGGTTGTTTGAAGCGCACTGGTAGGGATCATCTGGATATGGGCACCAAACGTCGCGATGAATGCGCCTAGAGGAAGACGTTTGAACGACAAGGGCTGCGAGCGCACTTGTGCAACAGATCATCTTTGACGCACCAGAAAATTGGGAGACCGCCGAAGAGGTCCAACGATTGCTTGCAGTTTCCGAGGCTGAGAGGCAGGCAATGGCACCAAATATGGATCATAAGAAAAACATCGCTTTGGAAAATGCGCAGAAACAGATACTGCATGCTGCGGCTAGCGTAGCAGGAGTTACAGACGAAGCCCAATGGCGCCTTGCCCAAGAGGAAATTGAAAGACTGAGAACCCAGAGCATAGCCGAACAACTGGTGCCAGACTCTCAGCACAATGCTGAGAGGGAGAAAGGTGCATACGGAGAAAAGGCCGATGCAGCGAGGAGGGGGGGGGGGGGGGGGGGAGGAAGCCCGAGAAGCGGCGCGAGAATATCAGGAGCTCCGCAATCAATTTGAAGCTGCTAGACTCGAGGCCGAAAGAGTATAATCGGAGGCCCAGCGAGCCCTTCGAGAACAAGAGCAGAAGGCCCTGGCAACCAGAGATGAGGACCAGAAGAGAATGGCCGCTGCCCGGGATCGTCTGAAGGGGCACGCAGATGAACAGATAAGTAAAAGTTATCTTGCCATTTCGGGCCGCGAGCGAGGAAAATAGGAGGTTAAGGTCTGATCTGGGGCATCATCGGGTGGACAAAGAAAGCGGGATAAGGTTCGGTTAGCCGGGCTACCCGCGACAGAATCTCTGCCTAAAGTAGGGCCAAACGTTTGCGGTTTGGCCGGCAGAAGTGGGCCCCAGGGAAGAGGTCGAATCGACGCCGGCGCAGCGCCGGCGCGCGTTGAGCCGCCCCCTCGCCCGATCGCTGCTCGCCCTAATAGGGCGCCTGGCACCTCGCAAGCTCGCGCGCGAGCAAGCACTCCGAGCCAGATCTGTCACATCTGCACAGAACCTTCGACCGAAGTATGCAAGGGTTGTTCGAAGCGCACTGGCAGGGATCATCTGGATATGGGCACCAAACGTCGCGATGAATGCGCTTGGAGGAAAACGCTTGAACGACAAGATGATCGCGAGAAAAGGGAAGCGTCCCGAGGCATATCTGATACTCAGCGGGCAAACAACGATCCCGATGAAAAGACGCCAAGACACTGGGCCTCGCCTGAGGACGTTGAACCCGAACGCCAGATGAGCAATCTTGCCGATCTTATGGGCATGCCAGTATTCAAATCAGAATAGTCGGATATGTGCAAGATGCCGATGTTGACCGCTCCGTTAATGCCAACGGTTCCTTTCGCAAAATCGCATTTCATTCCTGGGCCGCTGT